GAGGAGTGTGCTGCGGCGGCAAAGCCTCCCCTCAAGTCATCCCTCAAGAAATCCGGTGGCAACCAGGCGACTCCCAACGCGCAGACAGCCCGGGCGGCCATCGCCTCAAAAGCAGCGCAGGCGCTGGTGCCGGTCCTCGCGCGAGGTGCCGTCCCGCCTCCGTCGTGCTGCAAGCGCATCCGCTCCAAGTGCTGCTCCGGAGGATGCGGCGGCGGCCGGTGCTCAAAGTGCTGCGACCGCTCCGCAGGGGGGGCTCCAGAGGCGGTGGCGGCCGCTGCTGCGGCGGGTCGGATAAGGGAGATCCGCGCCGTGATGGAGGATTCAGCTGTGGCCCGCGACTTCGCCACAAAGTAGCGCACCATCTACTCCTGGTGGCGGCGGCGGGGTAGGCGGCGGCGGCGCCTTTGCGCACTGCTGCTCGTCGACCACGTCCCACAGCCCATCCGACGCGAGCACCTGCAGAAGGGGGGGGCGTGTCGCACACACCCAGCAGCCGGGAGAGACGCACACGAGCTCGGCGACGGCGCCAAGAAGGCGTCGGACGGCCCGAGCTCGTACGTCTTGATCTCAGGCTCCGCCGTGACGCCGTACCTGGCAGCCGAGATCAGCCGAGATCAGCCGAGATCAGCCGAGACCGCAGGCGAGGTCTTGATCTCTCTGGCTCCGCCATGGCGCCGCACCGCTTTAGATGGCAGTCCCCAAACGCGCGCGAGACGGCGAGGTCGCCTGAGAGGGGAGGAGGATGGAGTCTTCGGACTCGTCCGCAACCCCTCGCCGCAGCCTCTCTCTCCGCACTCCTCCGCACTGTCTTCTCCGCACCCCTCTTCCGCACGGGCCACGGCTGACGGCGAAGCGGGAGGGGAGGGGAGGGAGCTGGCAAGGCGGCGTGCGCACCCTGCACTCGCCAGCACCCGGCAAAGATGACGTGCCCCCCCGCTGCCTCGACCCTCGCCCTCTCGTCGGGCCGGTTGGGCTTGTGGTCCTCGGAGAGCGGCCTGCGGGAGGACCGTGACATGTCGCGGACGTGTCGTGGGCGTGTCGTGGACGTGTCGCGGACGTGTTGCGGACGTGTCGTGGACGTGTCGTGGGCGTGTCGTGGACGTGTCGTGGACGAGTGAATGGTGCTGGTGGTGGATGGACCCCTCGGGGACCGCCAGCCGACTGCGCACTGTCTGCGCTCGATCTCGGCCCGATCTCTACTCGATCTCCCCGCACCTCGCACTGCCCTCCGCGTGGACCATCGCGGCGCGCGAGTCTCCGACGTTGACAACCATTAGACGCCGCCTGCAGGAGGGATCCGAGAGGGGTCCGAGCAAAGCCCGCCACGGCGTCGGCCCGCTCTCCCCCCCCCCGCGCGCGCGCGCCTCCCGCCCGGCGTCGCTGGCCGGAGGAGGATGCAACAGATGCCGGTGGAGCCGTCCGGGATCGCATTTTGCACCGCGTGCTTGACGAACTCTCCTGATGCCGCGAGATCAGCCGAGATCAACCGAGGTCAGCCGAGATCGCGCCGCGTGCTTGACGAGCTCTCCGTCGGTCGCCAGCCACGCGTCGACGCACGCGCGCGCCACGTCGTCCTCGCCGAGCTGCGCGCCTGCAGGGGCGGGCAGAGGCAGCCCGTCGCAAGACTGCCGTCGCAGGACTGCCCGCCACGTCACAGGACTGCCGCGAGCGGACAGGGCGGCGCAGGCCCACAGGGCGCAGGCCCAGGGGACAGCAGAGGCACCGCGGCGGCTGCAGAGCGCGTGGCGGGCCTCAGACGGACGCCAGCGGTCCGCGGCTAAGCGAGCAGCCGAGGGGAATTCTGCTACGCTGCTACTACTACGCTGCTACTACTACGCTGCTACTCCTACGCTGCTACTCCTACGCTGCTACTCCTACGCTGCTACTCCTACGCTGCTACTACTCGCGGTCCGCGCGCCGCCGTTCCGCTCCACCGCCGAGACGATGTACGCCTGCAGCTTGGGCAGGAGGTGGCCTCTCGCCCACGCGGCGGCTCGCTTGCCGCCGTGCCCGTCGTAGACGGCGAAGAAGTGCGTGAGCCTGGCGAGCGGTTTGGGAAGGGCGAGCACTTGGACCAGGCAGCGGTTGGACGAGGCGACGGGGTAGAGGAAGGGGGGTGGGGCGTGCGCACCGGCGGGGAAAGGGGTGGGGTGGGGTGCTGGGGTGGGTTCGGCTCGCGGGCGCGTGTCGGGGCTTGGCACCCCGCAGCGCCGCAAGTCGAGGAGAGACCGGACACCTGGTAAGGTAAGGGAAGGTAAGGTAAGGTGAGGTGAGGTACGGACACCTGGGGCGGTTGCTGCGGCGGAGGCTGGCGGAAGATCTCTCGACTCTCGCGCAAACAGCAGGCGGACAGGGGTGCGTTTGAGATCGTCGCTCGCTGGGACCGAGCCCACGGCTCGGCGCGACCCCTCGGAGTCGCACTGAGGCCTCCTCCGCCGCTGCTCTGCCGTGAGTGTGTGGTTGTGCGTGTGCCGGGGGCAGCGGCGGCGGGCGGGAGGCAGGGAGGGAGAGCGTGGGCATGCGGAGACCTGGTGCATATCCTCCATGTACGGCCGGCGCCCCTGGATCGCACTCACGCCCCACTGCAGCCCGTCGAGCAGCCCCGTCTCGTGCACGGGCTGGACCTAACGGAGCATTGGCGACCACCTTGACTGGCGACCATCTGTCGGCGAGATTTGCGGCGAGCAGAGCGCAACGAGGCGGCTGCGGCGCGGGCGGGCGAGAGTTCGGCGGCGGAGTGGCCGGGTGGAAGGCGCGGCGCGGCCGCTCGCCGAGGCGCGGCTGCCGCCGCCGCGTGCCGAGGGGCGGCTAGTGCGGCAGTGCGGCGGGGTGACCAGTGCGGGCGGCTGGTGGCGGCCGGGGGCATTCGGTGCTGGCAGAGGGGGCGAAACCGGCGGTGCGGGAGGTGCGAGTGGCGCTGGCAGTGCGGGCGGCGCGGCGCAGCGCGCGCCTCCTCGCGTCCGGGCGGGCCGCGGCCACCGGAGGCGAAGCAGAGGAAGAGGCCGAGGCAAAGCAGTACGAAGAGGGGAGAGACGTTGAAGACGTGGCGCAACGTCATGACCGCCGCGAGGCCGCCCAGGAGCTGCTGGTTTATGCTGAGCGCCTGGAAGGGCGCGGGAGGCGTGAGCGAGAGCGGTTGCGAGGAAGGATGGTGCCCCCAGGTTGTCACCATATTGTCGGCTTGTCGGGCAAGCAAGAAATTGGTGCGGCTCGGAGCCCTGAGTGGCGATGTCGGGTGAGAGAGAGAGAGAGAGAGAGAGAGAGAGCTACGCGCGGTCTTCCGCGGGGGGAGCTGCGTCGACGGGTGCGGGACCGCGGCGCAGCCAGGGCCGCGGCGAGGCCTCCGGCTGTTTGCGGCGGGCGGCTTGCTGCTCGCTGCGATGGCGAAAAACTCGTCTCGCCACACGCCAAGGGCTTATGCTCTGGCGAGACGTGAGGCGCATGCGCCCAGGAGGGGAGGGGGCATGTGTAACGACACTGCTAGAGATGCCTTTCGGGGCCCAGAGATAAAACTTCTGTGATGCCATGCGTGACCTAGTAGTGTCCCCAGCTATGGGCGTGTCCACGTTGGAGCCAGGTGTGGTGTGGGCGCGAGAATAGCTCCGCCGTTCATGGAGGCAACCGATGCGAGTCGACTGGTGTGTGTCGTCGTGGTTTCGTATCAAGAATTCTCTCTCTCTCTCTCTCGATGTCGGGTGAGAGTGTACGTCATGCTCGTGTCTAGTGTCTGGTGTTTACTAGCTCCGAGTAGAGGGGGCGTTCCGCCGCTAGGGGACACCCAAAGCGCAGAACCAACCCTCGGAGACCCGTGTTTACTTTAAGGCCCTTGCCCTGCGAATGCGCACCCCCGGGGCTAGGGCTCTCTAGCCCGTGACCCGATCCCGATCATCCGGCCCGCTGGGTGCGCTTCTTAGCTCCCCGGCCCTGGATGTGAGGTTACCGACTGCACTCCAAGTGCTCCAAGTGCATCCGGGTACACGGAACCATCCCTCGGAGACGTGTTATGGCCCTGCGACCGCGCACCCCCGGGGCTAGGGCTTGCCCGAGGGCTAGAGCGCGCCGGCGGGCGCGCTCTAGCCGGTAACCCGATCCCGATCATCCCGGCCAACTGGGTGCGCTCCTCAGCTCCCCGGTCCTGGATGTGAGGCTGATGACCGCACTCTCCAAGTGCTCCAAGATCCGGCCCGCTTGGTGCGCTCTCCCCGGCCCTGGATGTGAGGTTGCCGACTGCACTCCAAGTGCTCCAAGTGTGCTTCGAGTAGAGGGGCTCTCCGCCGCTAGGGGAAACCCAAAGCGCAGACCAACCCTCGGAGACCCGTGTTTACTTTCGGCCCTTTCCCTGCGAACGCGCACCCCCCAAGGGCTAGGGCTCTCAGCCCGTAACCCGATCCCGATCATCTGGCTCGCTGTGGGTGCGCTTCTTAGCTCCCCGGCCCTGGATGTGGAGGCTGATGACTGCACTCCAAGTGCTCCAAGTGCCGCTCCGCTCCCCGGCCCTGGATGTGAGGCTACTCTGACCCCCGGCCCCGCTGCACTCCAAGTGCTCCAAGTGCTCCAAGCTGGCACGAGCCACGACCTCCCGGGAACGCCACATTGCAAAAAACACATATTCCCCGGCACACGCCATACACGCACACGTCAGAGCTCATCACAGACGTCGCCCCCAGAGTGCCTTTCGAGAGCCTCCCGGGGGACACTCCCGCGCGTCATGACTCGTCGTGCTCCTCCACCTCGGGGTCGTCCTCGTCCCGCTCGTCGGGGTCGCGCGGCTCGACGTCCTCGTGGTACTGCAGCGCGTTGTCGATCTGCGCGAGGATCTCGTCCACCGAGTCGGTGTCGCGCGGGTCGAGCGGCAGGAACTGCACCATCGACCAGTCCTCGAGCAGCTCGCAGATGGCCGAGTTGAGCCGGAGGAAGGCGGGGCGCGTGCCTACTCACGCCGCGGCGCTGTGAAGAGCTCGCCGGGAAGCGTTGAGCGGAGGGGGGCGGGGGGGGGGGGGGAGGGCGCGCGCCCTCGTCCAGCCTCGAGCGCAGCACCTATTCACAGCCGGAGCCGTGAAGAGCTCGCGGCGAGGAGAGGCCGGACTCGTCGAGCCTCGAGCGCGCGGCACCGCCGCGTCCGCGTCGAGCAACTCGTCGAGCAGGCGGCGGTTGGGCAGCAAGTCGCACTTTGAGAGCACCTGCTCGCCACTCCGGCGCGTGAGCCGCTCGCCGCCAAGAGGGCGGCGTCTCGCGCGATGCCCGGGGCTGAGCTCCGCACGTTGCAGTGCGGCAGCTCGAGCATCGTCATGGCGGAGAGGCAGGCGAGCACGCCGGCCACGAACTTTGGCGCGTCCTGCAGGGAGGTCGAGCCGAGTGAGAGTGTCACCCGTCACGGCGTGTCAGTTCTGAATCGACAGGATCGGGTCGCGTCCTGCAGGAAGGTCGAGTCGATCAGGTAGACCGAGGCGAGCCGAAAGCCCATGCGCTGCAGCTCGGAGACGACGCGGCTCATCGCGGGCACGTGCGAGTAGAGCTCGACCTCAGGGGCAGCCAGACAGTGGGAGGTGGTGCGATGCGATGCGATGCGATGTGATGTGACGTGGTATTGAGCTCGACCTGGCCCGGGCAGTCAAACAGGACGTACTCGTCGCCGCCTGAGACGTGACGAGGCGCAGCGAGCCGCGCTGAGCGGCGGCGAGAGCGGGCGAGAGCGGGGCAGAGCCGCAGTGCGGGCGCGACGGCGGCGGCAGCGGCGGGCGGCAGCGGAGCAGGCAGTAGAGCAGTGAAACCGCGCGCAGCGGCGGCAGCGGCGGCAGCTGCGCACGGCGGGAGGCGGGCGGCAGCACCGAGGTCGTCGAGTTCCGACTCGAGCCAGTCAATGTTGTCGACGAGGTACTCCATCGCGTAGATGAGCCCGCCGTTCGGGCCCAGCCGCAGCTCGCTCATCACGTCCTCGAGCGGCACGAGGTCGCGGATGTCGGCCGCGACCGGGTACCGAAAGTGCTCCGCTGCTGGGTCGAGGTTGACGACGTGGACGCGCCGCCGCTGCGCCTCGCAGTGCGTGCGCATGAGGTTGCAGTATGTCGACTTGCCGGCGCCGGCCGGGCCGATGACGAGCGTCGCGCAGCGGACCATATGTGTATGTTGCACCTGACGGCCTGCTCGGGCCGGCCCGGCGCGCAGAGCAAAACGCCAAAGAAAAACATCGGCCTCTGAGTAGAGGGCGTCCTGCAGTTAAGGGGAAACCCGTACGCGGGGCCAACCCTCGGAGACCCGTGTTTACTTTATGGCCCCTTCCCCGCGAACGCGCATCCCCCCGTGAAGCGTGAACCGTGATAGGCCGTATGAGAGGGGTTTTTCTTGCCCGCAACCTCCCGCGGATCATGTACATGCGGCCGATCAAATCCGATCATCCGGCCCGCTGGGTGCGCTTTCTCAGCTCCGCGGCCCCCAGGGTGTGAGGTTCATAACTGCACTCCAAGTGCTCCAAGTGCTACGCAGGACCGAGCCTCGTCACGGTGCCGCGATTTTGACACCTTTAAGCGCTCAGCCTTTCTCTTTCTCTCGGCTCACCCTCGCGGGGACAGTACCCCGAGGCGGAGAGAGAGATTCTCTTCGAGGCGGTGACCGGTCTCCTGGGCCGAACCCGGAGGTAGCACCAGCAGCAGCAGCCCAGAAAGAGAAGACCGCACAGCGCAGTCACTTGGAATCGTAGGCACCATGTGTAACCACAGAGTGAGATCGTCCTGGCCAGCTTAGAGCCGAGCAAAAGGGGATCCCCAAGCTTAGAGCCGAGCAAAAGGGGATTGCACGGGTCTTGCACAACCTCCAAGCCCACGCTGCTGTCGATGCTGTGACTGCGACGGACCTCAACATCGTAGCCACTGCCATTGGAGCGGTGCACGGCCACGTCTCGAAGCTGCACGGCATTGGAATCCTCGATCACGATTGCAGGCCGGCCGTCGGCAACTGCGGGAGCAAGGCTGGCGGTAACGTTTTTCAGATGCACGCCCCGAACCCTTCGAAAGTACGCGGCATAAGCGGGAACGTCGCCCATAGGGTACTTTTTTGCCAGTGTTATGCCGGGCAAACATGTTGCTGCCACCTCGCCCAGGCCTGGGAAACGCAGCTCGACGTCCCGGAACGAGATGCCCGGCCCAATAGGATGCTCTTGAAAGATGTGCTCAAGCACTAATCTAGGCATACCATCGAGCATGGCGACCGGAGTCGCATACAGACCTTTTGTTTCCCTTGCGCGCAGGTTCTCTGCAAAGATGCGATGCAAATTGATGTTGCGGATGCTGCCAACTCGCGCGTCGCGGCTCTCGACCAGCTTCATTGGGCGGCGCAATCGGGCGTAGATCGCAAAGAAGAACGGCGAGGCGAGATCGCTCATCTGAATATCCCTAAAAGTAAGGTCGTGAATGTGCGCACCGTCGTAGGACGTCAGAGCGATTCCTGACATCGCGCCCATCAGCTTAAGGTTCTCGAACGTGAAATTGTAGAAGTCGCCTACCGTCTCGGTGCCGAACGCAATGGCAGCATATCCATGGCTGGAGCCAAGGATGCTGTTGCGGACGAGCACGTTGTAACTAGCCACAGACTTGCCGCGGCTATAGTCGCTTCCAAACTTGAGCGCGTCATCTCTCCCGCCGTGGATGCGGATGTCTTCCACATGCACGTTTCTGCTCTGCATCAGGTTGATGCCGTCACGAACCGCGCGAAGGTCAAACCCGGCGAGATGGATGCCGTCACAGTTGGTGAAGAGCATGGTGAACCAACCGCCATCGCGGAGCGTCAGGCTGCCCGTGACTGCCACCCGAGCCGAGTCCACAAACGAGAACATCTTGCAGCCGCCGCCTTTGGGCGGCTTGCTGTTCGCCAAGCCTCCGTTTCCATCGACCACACCTTCACCAGTGATAGTCACGTTCCTGACACCATTGCCATAGAAGAGCGCGTCGCTCCAGCCGCCGTGCCCGTAGTCCTGATACGAGCTCCAGCGATTCCGGCTCGCAGTGATGTACTCGCCCGACTTGGAGCTCGCCCCGAGCACCACCGCGCTGCTGCGGATGCGCACAACGGTATCGTGAGGAAGCTCAATGGTGCCGCTGATGAAGCGCCCATGCTCAAATATGATTTCTCCACACGCGGCAAGTGCGTTGCCAATCGCTGCCGTGGAGCTGCTGTTGCCCGAGGCGTCCGCTCCGAAGTCTGACACCGAGCACCTCCTCGCCAGGTCTCGCGCGGCAAAGCTGGCCTGCACCGAGAGCGGCGAAGGCTCGTACCCGGTGGTGCGAGCGGCATAGCTCATAATCGGTCGTGGCTCCTGCGTGGCCTTGGCCTGCTGCGTTACGTGCACGTGTGCGGCAGTGCGGCGCCGGCGGGGGCGGGCACCCTGCAGTGCACGCCGGGTGTTTGGGCGTTACATCATCTCGGCCTGATCTCGGCGACCGAACACACATGGACATGGAGAAAGAGACGCCCGCAAGCAAGAGAGTCTAAGAAGCCTTACAACGACAAGACCAAGGCACGGGCAGAGGAACGAGAGAAGAATATAGGGTGGATAAAGCGCCTGGTTCACGGCATGGATGGAGGGTGAGCCACACCGAACGTACCGAGCGAAGAGCCGAGCGGAAGGAAGGAAGCCGGAGAAGATGACTCCGAGGAAGACGAACCAGTGGAAATCCAGTTGTCAGATGTCACGATGCACCCGAAGGGGACCCCAGCGCCGGCATCATCCGTACATGTACATGTACATGTTGTAGAGGCACGAGTGTTCGAAGAGAGAGTGGACCTGAGCAACGACATGACTTGGCGGCAAATGATCGGAGTGGGATGTGGGAGTCAGAAATGTGGTCCTTGCGCGAGGGGAGCTCGATAGACTCGAGGGGCCAGGGTACGCCGCGAGGAGGACGGAGTTGCGCCGAAAGGCGAAAGAAGCCGCGAGAACAAGGGACCGGCAGGCGGCGGCGTCGCAGGACGAGGCAGAAGAGAACGACGCGACAGAGGAGGAAGTGACAAGGGAGAGAACCAGGAGAGAACGACGAGAGTGGGACGACCGCGAGGTGGCATGAAGGTTGCAGCGAGAAGCGGCGAGAGACTGCGAAGAGAGATAGGAAGAGGCAGACTCCCTAGGGTGGGCGACGGCTAGCGCATCACACACCTCTCCTTAAAATCCCTGTGTGGTGGCGGCGTGCCGTCCTCCCATCCCTCCCTTGGGTTGTCTGTTTTCTTTCTTTCTTTCTTTTTAAGAAGCCTTGACTCGGTAAGTAAGTAAGACAGGCCCCTCGATTGCTCGATAACAGGCGCGTCACCAAGGAGGGCGGCGAGACCGACCTCTCCACAGCAGTCAGCCAGCCAGGCAGCCCAGGAGGCGCGGCCAAAGACGAGTTGTGACGATAGATAGTGCTACTGATGGGGTCTCGCACTTGTTGCTCCCTCTGGTGTTCCTCTATTTTTGTGACATGCCCGCTGCACTTGGAGCATTTGGAGTGCAGTCGGCAACCTCACATCCAGGGCCGGGGAGCTAAGAAGCGCACCCAGCGGGCCAGATGATCGGGATCGGGTATTCGGGTTGCGGGCTAGAGAGCCCTAGCCCTGGGGGGTGCGCGTTCGCCGTTCGCAGGGAAAGGGCCGTAAAGTAAACACGGGTCTCCGAGGGTTGGCTCCGTCTACCGGGTTTCCCCTTAACTTCAGAACGCCCCCTAAAAAAAAGAAAGAAAACAGACGGGGCGTGCAGTGTGGTGTTTATTAGCTCCGAGTAGAGGGGGCGTCCTGCAGTTAAGGGGAAACCCGGTACGCGGCCAACCCTCGGAGACCTGTGTCTACCTTTAGGAGGGTGAATCAGAGCAGCGAGCGGGCGAGTCACCATTCGCGCCGACGACCCAACCTCACGGAACAACCCAACAACCCAACCCAACCCAACACGAAACAACCCAACTCAAAGCACGATTCTGAAGTTGGGCCCTCAGCGCGCGTCCGCGGAAGTTCGAACTTCCGTAACAGATGAATGAAGTAAAAGATGTGAATCAACGGAGAGTCCGTGAAGGACGCAGAGGCAGAAGAAGAGGTAGGAGAGGAGAGGATCTCCGTGAGTCTCCAGCGGGAAACTAGTGGCCTATCACGAGTTAGGGCCCCCACCCCGGCGCGAAATTCTTTGTTTTGATGGCGCTGGCTGGCTCGCGGCAGCAACAGGCTTCCGAGCGCCTCATGTTGATCCCAGCCACCAAGAACAGCACGACTGGCTACAAGAACGTGAGCTACAGCCGCAGCAGACAGAAGTTCAAAGCGCAGGTGCGGGATGGCGGCAAGCGTGTCTTCCTCGGCTCCTTCGCCACCGCCAAAGAGGCGGCCACCGCCTACGCTCGCTCAGAGTACGGCCGCGCCGACGCCGCCAAGCTGCTGCAGCCACGCGCTGCTCCCACTACCGCTGGCGCCGAGGCGATACGGCAGGCGGAGAGGGAGGGCCTGACTCTGGCCAGCAGCAGCAGCAGCAACAGCGGATACAGGGGTGTGTTCCACCACCCGAAGCAGAAAGGCAGCAAGAAGTACCAGCTGAGGGCGAAATTTGGCGGCAAGAGGGTCACACTCGGCTACTTCGCCACCGCCGAGCAGGCGCCGCTCTTCTACGCCCGCAGGGAGGCGGGCAGGGACACCAGCGATCTCACCGCGCCACCGCCGCCACCACCGCCACCCGCGCCTTCCTCTGCCGCTGGCGCCGAGGCAGTCCGACAGGCGGAGAGGGAGGGCCTGACTCTTGTCACCAGCGGCGACAGCAACAGCGGCTACAGGGGCGTTGGCTACTACCCGAAGCAGAAAGGCAGCAAGAAGTACAAGCTGGAGGTGACGTTTGGCGGCAGGAAAGTCACTCTCGGCTGGTTCGCCACCGCCGAGCAGGCGGCGCTCTTCTGCGCCCGCAGGGAGGCGGGCAGGGATATGGTTGCGCTCTACCCGCCGCCGCCGCCACCCGTGCCTTCCACTGCCGCTGGCGCCGGGGCAGTCCGGCAGGCAAAGAGGGAGGGCCTGACTCTGGCTACGAGCAGCAGCAGCAACAGCGGCTATAGGGGCGTCTGCTACTGCCCAACGCGGCAAGGCAGCAAGAAGTACAGGCTGAGGGTGAGGGTTGGCGGCAAGCA